CTTATAAAAAGTAGTTGGAAGCCAAAAAAAGAGTTAGACATGTATGGAGATGGAACAAAGATAAGTAAACCCAGCAATAAAATCTTTTTTTTTTAGTTAGACAGTACTAACCTCATTTGTAAAGGTGTTTTCTAGTCGGGAAATATCTGCATATGATACTAGTGCAGCTCCACTCCAGTTAGTGCATCTAGGAATGGTAACAGTCTCATTTACGACTCTTCTGCCCAACATTGTCCCAAAAACAGGAATTCCTTCAATGATCCAGATCGGAAGATCTAGTGAAAATTTATCTAAGATTTCCCTTGTCGCAGCCTTGCCCTGTTTTTCAAAAGGGTTCTCCACCAAAAATTCGAATGACTTGAGACTCCATGGGTATCTCCACAGCCTCTCTAAATCCATCACCAACATAACATATTTGTGCAGGATATGAAAATATATACTCTGAGCCATTACCAAACCCGCAATTACACACAAATAAACCAACCTCAACCTATCCTCACAGCTCCACTTGTTAGCATTCTTGAGGTGCACATCGTTTATTATCTTCAGAGTTATTCATGCATTATTCTCCAACAACTTGCTCTAGAAAGCACCATCTTTCTTCCAGTTTTCCGAGTTCTCATTCTTTACCTCCCGAAAGTTGAATCTAGTAACTGCATAATATTCTTGCATGGAGAATCAAAGAGACCTCTATCTAAAACTGAACCACAGCTCATGCTTCTTGTATGTCATGAGCTGTTTGCACATGAAGCTGTGGATCAGCCTCGCCGAATATCCGAGACCATTTTGATGAATCTTCATGATCAGAACAAATACCGGATCTGTCAACATTTTCTCATACTCAGATTTCAGGTGCTGCTCAACTCGGCTAAGGATTGACAATGTGCAACGGTTGTTAATTTTTTTCAACTTGAGGTTCACTTTCTAGTCTAAAAATTTGTGTAGGCAACTCTAATGGTTGCATTTAGGAGCTTCGATGTTTTGGGATATTGGAGAGATAATGCAAATTGCGTTAAGGAGTTATCTACTATGGCTTGTGATGTCTTGCGTATCCCTATTACCACAGTGGCTTCAGAATCGTCATTCAGCATAGGAAATCGTGTGTTAAACAAATATAGGAGTTCCCTTCTTCCTTCATATGTGCAAGCCTTAATTTGTGCAAGGAATAGGTTACGCGGATTTGAAGAGATTGGTAAGTTTTTTTACTTGTGTTCTTTTGTCATCTTTGAATTCAATTGGAATCAAATTTCAAGAGAATAATAACATTTTGTTATTTTGTTGTGCTTAGGTGATCAGTTTGAGTTTATGGAGGAAGACAAGGAAGGAGATGAAGAAGTTTAAAACATTTGTGTTTTTGGATTTATGAAACTTTGAAAACTTTTTTTTCTAGATTTTGTGTTTATGTTTATTCTCTACATTTTGTTCTCTAAACTTTTGGATTTGGTATGTATGTTTGTTCTAATCAGACATTGTTCTCTAAACTTTTGGATTTGGTATTTATGAATCATTGTCTATAGAACAAAGACAAAAAAAACAAAACCAAAAAATATGTTAAGTATATGACCAGTGAACACCTATGGACAGCCCATTTAGACATGATCGTTAATGGGCATGGTCGTTAATGATCACGGTCATTATTTATCCATAATCGAAATGGTCAGTATTGGACAGGTCAAAGTGGACATGGACAACCCATTTTGACGGTTCTAATGATGGAGGGTTCAAATCATTTAAAAAAATTAAGTTTATATATTGCAAATATAGTTAAAGAGTTTTTACTATATTCATCTTTAATTAAGGATTTTTTATTATTATTTTTTGAATGGTTTTTTCATTAGAAAACCCTTAAAAACATTATATAAATCACCATACCACTATTTTTTATTATAAATCTGAAAAAAAAACATAATCTTTAAACCTATTGTATCGATTTTAAGAACCATATGTCTCTGTCGCTTTAAGCATGGCATGAATCGCTAGTTTTGCACAAAAAAGAGCTCACGATCTATTTTATTCCTTATAACATTTTCATAGGGTTATGACTATAGAAAATTCAAAACTTATTTATCTGCAAACAAAAAAAATACAAAATTTAATTCTTCACGAAACAAAAATTTGAAACTATATTTTCAAAATTGGACCGGACCGACGGTTCGATCAGATTAGACCACGAACCGAAAACACTTTCAGGTTGGATTGATTAAAAAACCAAAAATAATTAATTCGGATATTAGATCGGATTGGACTGCCAAAAATCCGGAAATCGGCGATCCATTAAACTGGATTAAACCATGTTTTGATTTTTTCAATTAAAAAAAATCTTTTAAACAATATATTCAATATATTATCCAATGCTACTCTATCTTATTCGTTGTTGCTTTTAAATTTAAATTTTAAAAGGCTTTTCAGTCATTTTTGCACTTTTAAAAAAAACTATGATTATTAAAGTATTATATTTGATATTTCAAATTAATGAATTTTATTATTTAAATTATTATTATTATTATTATTGAATTCGGTCAAACTATATTGATCCATGACCTAAGAGCTTTCCCCGTTTGATTGTTGGTCTGATTTAAAAACATAAATTTGAAACCAAAATCCACACAAATAAGGTATTCCAAAATCTTAAATATCTCCTAAGAGCAGGTCGAGTAGTGAACCTCACCATGGGGTTCATTCGAATTTAAAAATAATATTTTTGGTTTGTGTTGTTTGGGAAGAACCTTGGGTAAAAATCGGGTTCTAATAGTGAACCCCATTTCAAGGTTCATCCCGAATTAAAAAATAATATTTTTTGTTAAATAATTTAAAAAAAAAAAATAAAACACACAATTATTATAATAGAAAAATACAATTCATTACACATAATTTTAAAACATACAATATAAAAGAATACAATTTAATACAAAAAATTAAAAACATACAATATTTGTAATATAAAAATAGTTAACCAAATTTATTCTAGATATTTTCGATTAAATCCTTTTTCAATCGTTCTTGTATCTGTCTGTCACGGACTTCGTTTCGTTTTGCCATCATCAAATTTAAGACATTTGTAGGCATACGTGTAGAATACGTCCTATCGACATGCGAATTTCTGCTTTCTTCTAAATTGTATAGACTGTATCCATGTCGTTCGTTTTCTACTATCATTTTGTGTAATATGATAGAGGCTCGCATAATCTTTCCAATCTTTTCTTTATCCCAAAAAAGAGCGGGTTTTTTTATTATTGCGAATCTAGCTTGCAGAACGCCAAAAGCCTGCTCCACATCTTTTCGGACGGATTCTTGTTTAGTTGCAAATAACCTATTTTTTTCTCCTTCAGGAATATGAATTGATTGTATAAATGTAGCCCATTTCGGATAAATACCGTCTGTGAGATAATATGGCAAACAATACTCGTTACCGTTTATCCAGTATCTCACTTTTGGAGCTCGACCATGCAAGATGTCATCAAAAACTGGTGACCGATCAAGAATGTTAATATCATTTAATGTACCAGAAGGTCCAAAAAATGTGTGTCATATCCAAAGATCTTGTGATACTACTGCCTCTAAAACGATTGTCGGTTTTCCTGCTCCGTGTATATATTGACCTCTCCAAGCGGTTGGGTAATTCTTCCACTCCCAATGCATACAATCGATGCTTCCAATCATCCCGGGAAAGCCCCGTTGCTCTCCAAGGTCCAGTAAGCATTCAAGATCATCAGGTGTAGGTCTTCTTAGATACTCATCTCCAAACAAGGATATTATGCCCTCAGTGAAATTTTCTTAGCATAACAATGCTGTACTAGCACCGAGCCGGAGATATTCGTCAACTGCATCAGCTGCCGTACCATATGCCATCATAAGAATTGCTGCCGTACACTTTTGTAGAGCAGATAGACCTAATCTCCCGATAGCATTTCTTCTTTGTTGAAAGTATGAAACTTCATTGGAGAGGCAGTGAACAACACGCAGGAAAAAGTCCTTGTTCATTCTAAAACGGCGTCGGAATGTATGTGGCGGATAGGTTGCATCGTCACTGAAATAATCGTTCCATAAACGGTTGTGACCTTCTTCCCGCTTTCTTTCAATAAATGCTTTTTTCTTTTTTTTTCTTTTTTTCTGCATGTTGATGAACTATAGAATCAAACATATCATCAAACTTCTGATCAAATGCATCATCAAATGCATCATCAGCTTTATCATTAAATCCATTGCTTGAAGATGCTGCCATTTTTTTTTGTGTTTTTATGTTTGAGATAAGAGATAAAGAGATGAAAACTTTGTGAAAAGAAATGAATTTTAAGAGGTTTGTGTTTGATAAAAGTATTGGGCGGTTTTTTGGTGTTTGATAAAGAGGTTTGTGTTTTTGGGAACTTTATGGTGTTTGATATAGAGGTTGTGATAAGAAAAACACTTTGATAGCAAGATGAGAAAGTAAAACACTTTGATAGCAAGATGAGAAAGAAAGAAGTTTACAACTATGAATAACATACTTCTGTTTTCTGTCATATAAATACACGGCATAAGTTAAAAGATGTGGCCAAAATGATAGTTGGAACATATGGTCTATATTACAACATAAATAAGCGGTTACAATACAAGGATGACAAAAGCTTTATGGCCCCTCCAATATTGGTGCATGTGGTCACGGATCAACAGCCAACTTATAGTGGCCAAGTTGATGTGACACTACCTGCAAAAAAACGTAAAGAGAGTTAGAGATATATGTCCCGTGACAGACATTGAATGACAAAGCAACACATAGTTACAAAGTTCATAAACAAAAGTTTAACAAAGTTCATAGACAACAAAAGTTGAACAAAGTACCAAAACAGAAACCAAAGTTCATAAACAAAAGTACCCTAAAGTTCATACATATCAAAGCCTTGACTCCAAGAAGCCGAAGACCCATAGCAAATAAAAGTTCATAAACTAAATATCATACAAACCGGATGAAGCAATAACATAGAAACAAAGACTAACACAAAGTGATTATCAGATTTCATACCCTAAAGATCATACATCGCACAAATTAACTTGTGTTTTAATGTCATTTCAATCTCAGTGAGTGGTTCAGTCTTAGCCAAAAGGCTCTCAAGAATCCTCTTATCACTAATCTTGTCTTTCAACTCTAGATCTTTTTGTTTCATTTCCCACATGGAAGAAAACTCCTTCATGTCCTTGTTCTCGGGTTTAACACATAATGACTTCTTTGCGTTGGCCTTCGAAGCCTTGACTCCAGGTGGACGAACCTCGACTACATCTTCATTCTTGCTTGCAGGTATGGAGGTTGAGGACAGAGCCGAGTCTTCAACCTTTCTTCTTTTGGTCGACGCACCATCTTGGACTTTGCTACTTGTGCACCATTTTTGGTCGAACCTCAACTCTCTCCAGGCATGTTCCAAAGCAAACTTGATGGAGTAGTCATTGAAGAAGATCTCATGCGCAAGATTCATAACGTCGTTTTCATTATGACCGCTTCTTTTCTTCTTCTGCGCAGCCGCGTATGATCTCACAAATTTACAGACCTGGTCATTGATCCTTCCCCATCTTTGTTTACATTGAGACCACTATCTCCTTGGCAGTCCAACTATATCCTCGCTGTTGTTGTAATACGCCTGAATACGCTTCCAGAAAGCCCCAGCTCGCTGTTCATTGCCGACAATCGGGTCCTTGCTGGTGTTGAGCCACGCACTGATGAGGACCAAGTCTTCCTTCGACGACCAGAATTTCCTCTTCAGTGCACCATCAGTAGGATCATCAGATCCTTGTGTACTAAACAAAGGAATCTCTAATGATCCTATTTCTATGCACGGCGAATAACAGTCAGGGTTTAACTGACTGGTTAGAAGGTTTACAAACCCTTCCGACTGTGTAAAAGAGTTCTAAGAAGCCATAAAGACTGGAATGAGTGGAAGGAGTTAAAAGACTACTGAAAAGAGTGAAAGAGGACTGTGACTTAAAGAGAAATGAGAGTGGAAAAGAGAGAAGAGAGTGAACAGAGAGATGAGAGTTAAAGAGAATGGAACCCGAGAAGAGAGTGAACAGAGAGACGAGAGTTAAAGAGAATGGAACCCGAGAAGAGAGTGAACATAGAGAAGACAGTTTGAAAGTGTTTAAGAGTGAAAGAGAGTGAAAGAGAGTTATGTGTTTTTTTAAATTATGATTGACAGTATTTTCTGTGTCTTTATGGCTAAGTGTCTTTTATGTTAAATAAAATAGTAGTTGGGAGTCTTTTAAATTGAGTTTTCAAGTTAACGATCAAGTTGTAAACATTTGCGAACAAGTTTTAACAACCATTTAAAACACTACCTAAACCTATCATGTCATATCAAGCATTGATAAACAATAACAGTCATAAAGCTAACTAAAAAAACCTAGCCAGTTACCTAACGCATTAAACACAAACAAAGAACCAGTTACCAAACATTCAAGTTACAAAAGAACTGACCTTTACTGGGTGAGCCATATGCCCTCAACTATCATTTCAGTTTTCAGTTCCCGTGGAGTCCAAATTTCCTCACAAAAAACATTAAAACAGACCATTATAAGCCCTAAATAACTTGAGCTGAAGGTAACTACTTAATGTTACATTACTTAAAAAACAATGCTAGCCATTTCGAAACCCTAAAGATATAACCAAAAGCTGCAATAACACAAACAAAAAAAAACATAGACAACCTGTCACCTTGAGTACGAAGTTGCTCCTCCAAAACCCTGACTTCACCCTGAAGCCTTGCAATCTCTTCCCGGATTTCTCCTACGGCTGGATCAACAGAGTTGCTGGGTGACCCGATCAACGCTGAGGATCAGGTCCTGCTGCTTTTCTATCCTTGTCGCAAGGATAGAAAACTGTTCAATTACCGCATGATCCCACCATTGGTGAATGTGGTCAAAAGTACCCTAAAAACATTACAAAATGTTAGCAAGAATAACATAAATACTGAAAATTAAGATTGAACAAAAAGACAGAATACCTATCTCGTTAATCCATTCTGGACAAGAATAATACTTGCGACCGGCTGCGTTTTCTTGGAGCTTCACAACCTGCCCACAGAAGCACTTCTCGGGTATGCCATAAGTGGCATCCGCGTACGCCCAGTACGGGACTTCCGAACCTTCCTCAGATGAATCGCTGTTGTAGCTTGGAATTATCTGCCCAAAACAGAATGGGATCAGTACAATACAAAGACAAATTATACATCACAAATACATTTTGATCAACCAATACAAATACAAAGACAAACAGATACAACATTTCAGTTTATTTTCAATATTATCAAGTTACTACATTACCACAACCATCCATATTATATACTACTATACACTACCGATCATCTAAACAACTACAACATTTCATTTCATCATCAATAATGTCAGAGTTAACTTTGAAAATGGCAAATGCCAGATCATCATATCATATTACATATATCAAACAACAAACACAAGAAGATCCAATCATATGAACCGATAAACTACTTAATCATATTCGATAAAGGCATTTAAACTCACACAAAATCTTAAGCACAAAATCATATTCGATAATGCCTATAAACATATAGACGAATGATGCAAATGATAGTTGGAAACACCAATTTGAACCCCCAAAGAAAAGCCTCAAATTTTTACCCCAAATTGAGAAAACCCTAATTTCATCGCATAAAAATTCAACACATATATCATCAACCATGCAATCGAATTCGAAATAGGTCTATACGGTTGTATTTCATTGTTTGAAACCCCAATTGCAAACCCAATAAAAAGCCCCAAAATTTTTCCCCAAATCACATAAACCCTAATTTCGAATTTTGAAAAAAATTTCAAATCATTCAAATACCATTTGCAAAATCGATATCGGGTTTCAAATAGGAGACAAAGACTCGTAATCAACCATAAATCCCCAAAAGAAATCCCCGATTTAGCAAAAAACTTTTTCCCCAAAAAAATCGCAAACCCTAAATAAACGAAATCATATGAAAATATGCGAAAAGTCAAGATCAGATGCTTACCTTGACGATGTAGACGGAAGCGAGATCATCGAATGACCAATCCACCGGAAATTTTCGCCAGACTGAACGAATTCAACGGAGTCGTCGCGAATCGCAGGTGAAGACGAAGAGAACAAACAAAAAAATCGAGAAAACACGAAAAGAATTTTTGCCCGATATTTTTTTCCTTTCCCAAAAATTAGCCTGCTTTCTCCTCCAATCTCCATGCGATACGTGGTTAAGAAACAGGTCGTCAGATTCAACCGGATGAACCAATCCATCAATAATGGGTTTTATTTCTTTTTTTTTAAAACCATTTTGCCTATGATCTCGAGCCGAATTCTTCCCACAAACCTTCCCACAAACCCCCATTGGACTTGTTCTAATCCAATTACAAAATCTTAAATATCCCCAAATCGAATTCCAAAATTCCTAAAATCGTAGTTCTTAAAAACTTTCCACGAAATATTTTAAAAACAATACACGTCATAAACAAAACCCTAGAAGGACACATGCCCATTAACAATTCCGCCGCCCATCTCATCTCTCTTACTTCTCTTCAACTTTTTCTTTCTCTGAATCTTCCATCTCCGTGACTCCGTATCTCTTCTTTCCGTGCATCGATTTCGTATTAGCTCAAAGCTCATGGCAACGATAATCCAACATCCCGAGGTCGACAACTCGGATATAATCCGACTTCCCGAGGTCGGCACCTCGGATTTAATCAGAAGGTTAAAGAGGACGACGCTCATCGGCAGAATTATGAATCCTGAGTTTCAGAATGTAGAGTCTCTGGTTCAAATGATGCCCAAACTCTGGAAGCTAGAGAATCGAGTGGTTGGTATGGACTTGGGTCTAGGAACATTCAAATTCGATTTCGAGAGAGAGGAAGATATCTTGGAGGTGATGAAAAATGAGCCTTTCAATTTCAATCAATGGATGGTTTCGATCGTTAGGTGGGAACCGATTATACACAAAAACTACCCATCGGCGATCACATTTTGGGTGAGAATCTCCGGTGTTCCTCTGCGTTTCTCGACAGATGAGACTTTCCGGGGAATTGGGGATGAGCTGGGCACTGTTCAAGAAGTGGACGAAGATAATGCGATGGTGAAAGTGACTATTGATAGTACTAAACCGTTGTGTTTTGAAATGCCGGTTTGGTTTGAAACGGGTGGTGAGCAGTTGGTGGTGGAGATGCAGTACGAGAAGCTTTTTGGTTACTGTGAATCTTGTTTTAGTCTTCGTCATGATAAAGAATCTTGCCCAGAGAGGGAGTTACGCAAACATGTTTTGGCAAAGGAAGAAGAAGACAAGGATTTGAGTTAGTCGAACTAAAGATGGTTCACATGTGTGTTTGATTATGTATGTATCTCGAAGGAGAAAGTAGAATATTTTAATCTGTAATGAATTTGAGAAGAAAAAAAAGTAGTAACCTTTTGGTAATTGGTGATTATACAGTATCTTTTGGCATTATTTCCCGATTATGGACTGTTCTTTGTGGATCAGAAAAACCTAAAATTCTTAGCAGCACATTGCATTAAAATGTTTGGATCTTCAAAATGAAGAAAATACAGAATTATGTATTCAAACCAAGTTATGAAGCTCTATGAATGTTTTCGTTACATCATCGATAGTTTTATGCAGCAACATGAATTTACCAGTTAACCAGTCAAGTTTATCATATGAATAAACAACTCATGGACCCATACACTAAGCCACCCATTTGTCTCACGGATTTGCTATGAACAATGATCGCATCTGTTTAGAACTGCAATAACAATGTTATAGATGGAGGTTGATAGAGTGTTATTTTGGTGTTGGATTTCGTACATTTAGAGTGGAGTTGGAAATAATCTTACCACTAGGTAATACGACTCCGTTCATCTTCATACAACTCGTTATATTAAGTGCCTCAACTTTTTTTAGTACAAAATGCGTTTATTAGAACGAATTTGTAAAAGGCAAATTGTCGATATCTAATCTGTATAGCACTGACATGCCCACATAAGAGAAGATACAGGTTCTGGTACGTGTGTTCCTAGCCAGGAATTTCACTAGTTCATTACTGATTCTCGGTTAAAACACCACTTTGACGTCTTGGAGAGAATTAAATAGGTCCTCAATCTAGCTAAGATCTGTTGCAAAAGCTGACCATTCATATGGTTTTGAAACCATTTTTATCAAGTCTAGGGAGTTACTAATTAATACTGTGGATATAATACTGGTACTGGAAAAATTCTTCTTAAACACACGACGATCCATATCAAACTAGAACTTTAACCTCATATACTCTTTTTCACATTAAAAAGTTCTACACACTCCTCTTTTATTCTACTACTCCTCTTATTTTCTCCTTCTTTTTTAGGAGCTTAACCTCACATACTCCTCTCCCTTATAAGAAATTCTCATATACTCTTTCTATCTCTATATTTTGTTTTTGATTTTCTTTTTAATACAAAAGGGTATAAAAAGACCAAAAAACCATTAATGAATAACCAAATTACATATCCAACCGGACTCAAACCAGATCCAATTTAATTAACCAAAATGATTAAACTAAACCAATTTAATTATTTTAAACCAACCTTTAAACCAACCAATTTAATTAAACCAGAAAGCAAACCTAAACCTAAACCCCACCCCCTCCAAAATCGGATCTATTCCCGCCTCCTTCGTCTCCCCTCTTCGATCGATTCCCCATTATCTCCATACTCCATCATTTTCGGACTCTTCGATTCATCATCTTCTTCCATCATTTTCGTCTTCTTCCATCATCTTCTTCCTCTTCGATTAAATCCCCACACTCTTCGCTCACCGCCACTCACTCGCACTCACTCTCCACTCTTCACCCTTCAGATTTAGGGTCGTCGCCGTCGCCGTTTTAGGCTTGCCACCACCGCCGTTTCACACTTCCGTCATCGCCGAACAGGTATCTTCTAGGCTTAAGAGTAATTAAAACCTGAATTTATGATTTTCTTCCCTCAACCCTAAACCCCAACTGATTTCTGATTTTTTGTTTCAGAATTTTTGGAGGATGTCGACTAGGGGTTCACCTTCTCAACCAGAGAGATCTGAGGCTGAGTATGCTACTGCATCAGAAGAAGGATTGGGTTCAAACTCAAATGTTGATCCATTACAACCGGTATGTAGTTTAGTACAACTAGAATTATCGTGTACAATTGAGTTTTGCTTGTGGTCTACCGGTTAGTACAACTGGAATTATCGCGTACAACTGATTTGTGCTTGTGGTTGAACGAAATGTAGTTTAGTACAACTGGAATTATCGCGTACAACTGATATTTGCTTGTGGTTGAACGAAATGTAGTTTAGTACAACTGGAATTATCGCGTACAACTGATTTTTGCTTGTGGTTGAACGAAATGTAGTTTAGTACAACTGGAATTATCGCGTACAACTTATTTTTTGGTTTTGGTTGTACCAAGAATACTAGTTGTACCAATACACTTATATTCACTTATCCTATGCGTTTTGATTGCAGCAAGAGGACGTCTCAATACCGATGGAACCTCGAGGTTTATTCTTCAAGCAAAGCGAGTATCGGTTATACCCGAAGCTTCAATCAAGGTGTGAAACCTTTAATTTCATGGAAGTCTTCAAGAGGCTTGATATCTCAGAGAGAAACTGGTTTGAGAACCACCCACAATTCAAGCATATTGTCCACGTGTTTATCCAGAAGAATAGAATGTTAAAGGGAATGTGGATGTTGCTTCTCCGAACAGCAGTGACAGACAAGCAGCGGCAGTGTTGGTTTGTTGTGAATGGTGTGCCTGTTCGGTATTCAATCAGAGAACACGGCCTTCTTTCAGGATTATTCTGCCACCATTATCCAGCCGACTATGAGCAGTTAGGGAGTATGTATTTTGTGGAGGAGCAGTTTGGAAAGACCAATATTGAGGTCAAAGAGGTGCGTGAGAAGCTGGAATCAATGGATTTCATTGAAGGTTGTACTGATCGGTTGAAGATGGTTGTACTTTTCTTCTTAGCAACTGTCATCAAAGGAAAGTCCAAGAAATATGGTGGATCCATAGACCCATTCATTCTCCGAGTGGTGGATGATCTGGATCTGTGTGAAACGTAGCCCTGGGGTCGTT